CAAAAAAAAAAAAAAAAAAGAAATATTTTCAAGGTACTGCTAATTTAATAAACCAAAAACAACAACAAAAAACAAACAAACAAAAACTCCTATAGTTCTGTTAATTATGCAGTTTGCTCAAATCAACTTACATATTTCTGTTACCTAACAACTCATTACCTGTTGGGTATTACACCACTTCTCAAACCGTGGAATCCATATGGACACTCACTGATTTTTTCAATTTTTTTTTTTCACTTGAGAGTGTATCTACTCCTCAGAAAGAGAGAGAGAAAAGAGAAACACCCTCCTGTGAACTTCAGTCATGCTATAATCTGGGCATGCATACACAAATTCTGGCCATGTTTTTCAAGCTGCTGCAATCAGGATTTGAACTGGTTAGTTATGTGTGTTCGAGGTGCCAATGTATGACACTTAACTACTGTGCTATGGGGTTGGCCCCATACCCATTTATCTTTCAGACTTTTTTTAAATCATAGTGATCATACAAACTTAGCTTCACAATACATGATATCACAAAAGGTATATACTAACCTAATGTTTAAATCCTTAACTATCTCCAGCTAACATTTCCCACAGAATCTAAGAGATGTCTGTCTATATGTTACCCTTGACATTTTAAAATATCTTCTAATGCTCCAAGGCACTTTGGCTCACAGTTTAAAAGACATGAAGTTAAACTATAAACCTTTATCTGAACCTATCCCAGGCCTTGTAATTTCCTTGCCCTGGTTTTGAAAGTATCATACACAACCAAATTAATGGGTTCCAATTACAAAGTTTAGTGTCAAGATATTATTGTAGATTTTCCAGGGTTATTCTTAGAAGAAGTAATTACTGTTTTGTGGAGTACAGATCTCCTGACACCAAGATATTACCACCTCCTACTCTACTCACGTATCCTAATTCCCAATGCTAAATGTTTAACTCTTTGTATATTAAATGTATACATGGTCCTCATTATTTGTGTTTCCTTATTTATAAATTTGCCTATTTGCTAAAATGTATTTGTATCCCCCAAAATAAACATTCATATTGCTTTTGTAGATATTTCTGGACATACAAGAGGGTAAAAAATCTGAGTCACCCAATATGCATATTCCTAGCTAAGGGCCAACATGACACTCTGCCTTCTTGCTTAAGCTCTTATACTATAAACAAGTACAGTTTCTGTGGCTTATTTAGTGCCACATTTTGGGGGGAATGCTCTTTGTTGTGATTTCTCTGCTTAAAATGGGCCCTAGGTGTAGTGTTGAATAGTCTAATGTTCCCTAATGCAAGAAGGTTATGATGTGCCCAACAGAGAAACCTGTTAGATAAGCTTGGCTCAAGCATCAGTTAATTCTGCTGGCTGCACCTTTAGTGTTAAGGGGGGAGGTGGGGAAGAAAGAAAAAAAAAATCATGTATTTTAAAAGGTATCCTCAAATAAAAACACATATAGAACAAGGCTGTCTATATGGTTCCATATTCAGTAATTTAGGGTTCACAGGGAAATGACAGAATGCACCTAGTGTGAATAATGAAAAATGACTGTTCACTGGTTTTCCAGGTTTGCCTATTTTTTAAAAACTACCTTGTGGGGATAATCAGAAAATTCCTATGTACCCGATAGATCACAGAGGACATGCCTCAGCAAGAAACAAACAAAAAATGTGTCATGAAGTAAGGAGAAGAGTAGACCTGCTCCAGGAGAGAAGCAGAGTCCTGAAAGGTGAGGGCAGAAGATAGGAAGGGCAGCTTTGTCTACTTCGGGGGGTTGCCTAGAGCTGGCCTGGAGCACTCAGATACCAACACTGCCATTAAATATGCATTGATCGCTGAGTGGCAAGGTGATGGAGAATATGACCCTTCAAGGTCCTTTCTACATCTATTTTTGAAGGGAAAAAAAATAACAAGAGATTTCTTTCTATTTCAAAGTATAATCAACAGTTTGGGAGAGACCATGGTCAGGTTTGCTGAGAAAGAAACAAGTCCATTTGTCTAATTGTTTTCTTCCTGATTTGGTATGATATTACTAGATTTTATTTAAGTAGACTTAGTCATTATTTTCAGAAGGGGAACCAAGAAACGATTTACGTACAAAATAAAGTCATTTGAATGCTGAATGGATAAGGATTTTAAAAATAACAATTTGTACATCATGTACATTTCTCTCTTCCTAAATTTTAAGTGGTGTGAAATCCATCTGATCAAATCGTTTGAAATGTCAAGATGAGGGAATGACACTTCATGTGACAACGATATGGCATTTTATCTAAAAGTGTGTTTTTTTACAGCTCATGAATGAATAAATGAATGAGGGCTATAAACCTCCTTAGCCTCCCAGATGAGTGGTTGTCAGGAAAATGTGAAGGCTAACAAAGCAGAAAAAATGGCAAAAGAGGGAATATGTCTTGAGGATTATAGAGGGATTTAGTGTCAAATGCTTTGAAAACATAACTCTCATGGTCTATTACCTTACTTCACAACTTAGTATATAATGGGCGAAATGATCGAATTTGTTAAGAGCTTAAAAGGCTGATGACCATCTCTTTTCTTTTCCCCCAGTTCTCATATCTTTTTCTTCTATCATCTTCCTACTTTCCTAGGTCTCTCTCTCTCTCTCTCTCTTTCACACACACACACACACACACACACACACACACACACATGCACCATTAGGCTACATGCAATATAATGTACCATACTGAAGGGAATAGATAAAAAAGAATGCTTTTACTTTCCAAAGATTCATAGTCTAGAGAAAATAATATTCATAAAATAAATAGTAGAATAAGTATTGTTACAAACAGAAACAGTTGTTGTTTAAAGAATCGGTTCATTACTGATAAGGGAGAAAATCTGGGGAAAGAACATTTGAGTCAGTTCTTGAAAGACCTCAGAGTTTGACAGGTATAAGATGGACAAGTGAGAAGAACAGGGATTTAATTACCTTGCCAGTCCTCCCATTCCAAATTTGAATTCCACGTTGTTAAGTATAATTAATATTGCCTGATATAACTTACGAAATGCTCTGACCTGTCTAAATCGATCATGAGATTATTAGGAAAAAAAGGCTTCCATTTAACATGAAAACAGTCAAGACTTAAAGAGCAAAAGATCAGAAGGTGGTATTTGGGCTCTCAAGGGAAGGAGCTGGAGGATGTATCAGGAAAACTAGGGATGTCAACACAGAGCAAAGGACAGCCCCCTTCTAGTCATGCATTGCTCGAGGCTCCTGGGATTGCTTCCAAAGCACCATGCTGTACCCTGGATACCACAGTCAAAGGGGACCATGCCTAGGTTTGATAGCTTCAAGAAAACCAAGATTTGGAAGCAAATGAACACCATTTATAAAATCCTTGAAAGACTAGGGATGTATTGGCCAGAGAAATACTGAAAACGAATTAATTGGTTGTTACTGTTTCATGTTTTCAGAGGACAGGAGTGCTGGTTTAGGTATTCAGTGATCTGAGGGAAAATGTTCAGTGTGCTCAGCATATACCATTTGGGTTCATTGATTAGCCTCAGGAACTACAATGAAGACTGAGGATGAGGATGAAGGTAAAGATACAGTCTAGCACTTTCTTGTCTTACTCAGTGGCCCATAGCTACATGGAACTCTTGAGCTCTTTATTAGATGCAGCTGGTGCCACATGTTGAAATGATAACATTTTGAGTACATTTGGTTAAATAAACTATATTACTGAAACTACAATTAATTACACCCACTTCTGTTTCGCTTTCTAATGTGTGTACTAGACAATTTTAAATTAAAAATGTAATTTCTAACTTGCTCCCATTGTATTTCTATTGGACATCACGCTTTTTGGATTAGGACTGCAGAAACCCCATCCCTGCCTGAATCAAAATAAACGTATCTGTTTCATCGATTGTGCTTTTGCATACGCAGTTGATTTGAAAAGAGAACCTTTGGCCAATGAAAATGTTTGTGCAATACTGTATTAGACTGTTAGTAAGGTAAAGAGAAAAACAAAAATCTCATCTTAGGATGAATTATTATGCAACAGCTAAATAAAATGAGGTGAAGTATGTATCTTAACAGAGAGATGAAGGCACATTGTGGCTGAACAAACCAAGTTGCAAATATTACTATGTGACATTGTAGTTAACTTGAATATATTAGACTATATATATATACACCTATATATCTATATATAGGTGTGTGTGTGTATATATGTGTGTGATGTGTGTGTGTATATATATATATATATATATATACACACACATATCATACATATTACATATATTGGGTTGCTGGAAAAATCATGACTATATATATATATATATATATATATATATACACACACAAAAAAAAAAACCACACATATATATAAATACATACACACACACACACACACACACATATATATATATTTTATACATAAAATTTTTTCGGCCTATTTCTGCATGTAATAACATCAACAATGGTCTGAACAACTCACATTTACCTGCAAATAGAGTTCTAAGCATAGGAAGATGGTTGGGTAGGAGAGGTGGAGATATTTTATGGAAAGCTACATAACCTTATTTATAATATCAGGATTTTATTTGAGGAGTATAATTATGTATTAGTTTATAATTGTATAATAACAACTACTGTTATCATTATAGCTTATTTATTCTTCTTATTATTAATTATTGTCATTATTTTAACACTACTAAACTGGATAATCTTTATTTCTTTCAAGGCTATGATTTTCTGACCTGGATAGGAAGACGGTGTTAGCAAGGAGCACAGAAAGAAAAGAGCAGGCTTAAGTCTATACGCCATTTAGGAAATACTACATACAAGGAGTAGACAGGGTTTCCCATTTCACATATTCAGTGCTAATATAGGCCTGGTGGGATCTCTCATCTCTTTATAAGTAAAGAGTCCACCTTGTCTGAGAAAGTCAGGAACCAGACAGATTTCCACAATTAGACAATAAATAAATAAGAGAGTTAACACTTTGGGGACCCTGTGAAAAGCTTTGACCTCTCTAGAGGCCTCGCATACCCTGATCATCAGCACAGCTTTTCTGATGTCCCGAACACCATCATACACCAGACGAGAGGCATCGATGAACTCATTCTCCTCAAACGGCTGAGGTACATTCGCACTCAGGGCTTCAATGGCGACTTCTACTTGTTCAGCAAAGCGTGGCATCACTGGGTTTCAAAAAAGTGAAAAAAAGTAGATTAGGCAATGTTTCTCTTACTCTTTTTCATCTTAAGACATTGGGCAAGGTGGTAGACCCTTACTGTTCCAGCAATCTGAAGGAACAGGATGCCTATCTGCTCAGTGTGGGCTGGACCCAGGTTAATGGCTTTGTCTACCTCAGCAGGAGAAGCAAATTTTTACTCCAGACATGGTGATGGTTTGCAAAACAGGAAGTTTCTAAAACTTGCCCAATTGTGTGGTGTAGTGGATGAGTATAGATTTCATGTTATCCTAACTTGAGGTCCATTAGTTACCAACTCAGAAACTTCGTCCAAGTTTATTTAACCTTTATTAACCTCTTTCTTTGTTTTTAAAATATAAAATTCCACCTCAAGATTCAGTAGGATAAACATTTGGCCCTTAGATTCCATCCAATACTTCTGGATCAATAGTATTAATAAGGATTAATGAGTATCAAATGTTATAGTGATTGCTGGTACATAGCAGATCTCAACCTACACAGTTTCACAATAAAGTATAAATGAAATGATCCAGTCTATCCCACTTTTGTTGGAAATGTACAAATTGAGACACTGCAGGAGGTGGGGTAGAGAGGGAAGCTGTAGAAAGACCGTGAAAGAGGGAAGAAAGAAGACAGAGAAGGCCTATGAAAAGAGAAAAACAATAAGCTCAAAGATGAATGATTCCATTTTACAGGACTACTTTGATATGAAAAAAAGGTGTATATATAAGTTTCTAAAATGCTGACACCTCTCTCTTCTCACAGAGATGCCTGCACATGCCCTGGAGGATAGAGGAAAGTAAACTCAGTAGAATTTCTAAAATACTTCCACTGACTTCTTAAAAAATGCTGTTGATTCACTGATTCTCAAAAATTATAATTCTATTTCCTCAGTCATTAACTTGTAACAATCAATTCATATGGCAAATGAAAACCAAAGGCACAATTCATTTTATTTACAAAGACAATAAAATAGAAACATCACTCATCTATTTCCATTTCTGAACGTCATGCCTGATTCGTCTTTGTATTCATTTTCATCCTCAGTGGATATTTTAACATCCATTTTAATCCCTGGTGTGAGAAACTCTGTTAAATTACTTTATTCTCTAGAGTCAGAATATTCAGTATAGAAATACATTTTTCTAGGATTATTTTACCAGGAAAGTCAAATATTGGTTTAAAAAAAGAAGAAGAAGAGGGAGGAAAACAGAATAACCATTGCTTCAATAAAAATTATTGAAATCAAAGCCGGCATGGGATGAATTTCCTTCTATGGATAAATTACTATGATCAACTCTCCATGTTATTTGAATTTTATATTTAGGGTTTTTTAACCTTCACTTAGATAAAAAATAAAATTGGAAAATATCAAGCTATATTACTACAAATATGAATCAAATGAAGCAGTATTTCTAAAAAAAATTACTGCTTTAAACTTAGGCCATTTCAATTTTCCATTTGTGTTGAAAAACAAACTTTTTACTTTAGGTCATCGAAACTGACCTCCTTGAATATAAAAACATTTTTGTTTGTATGTGACCTTTAGGGCTGAGAATCTTTCTTAAACTGAAAATTCTAAATAATATTAATTTTATTCTATTTGATGTCTAAGCCATCATAATCCTGGCCATCAATTTTACAGATTTATATGATAACATCATGCAGCATTTAGATGCATACAATTTTTTTAGAATTATTTTATTTAACTTTATTTACTTATTTTAATTTGACCAGAAAGGGACGGAGCAAGAGCAATAGTGAGAGCAAGAGAGAGAGAGAAAGTGAGAAACAGGACCAACAGATGGCATAATGGCTATGTCACTGGACTCCCATGGTGCAGATCGAGTCCCAGACCTGGTAGCTTAAACTCATGCCAGGTGTGTGGGTATGCATGCCCAAGATCCTGAGAGAAGAATGGAGGAAAAGGGATTGCAGTGTGACCATCCCCCAGGGGGCTGATTTCTTGCTTTCTGTCTCTCTGTCTTTCTGGCGAGCACATGTGCCCTATAGCAAAAACCTCTCAAAAA